GAACTCCTGATCTTGTGATCTGCCTGCCTCAGCCTCCCAAAGTGCTGGGATTACAGGCATGAGCCATCGCACTCAGCCCAGAGCCTTTCTTAATACAATTAGCAAAGTCTTTGTCATCTGGTTGAACATTCTCAGTTGATATCTAAGCTTTGTTCTATGTGGACAAGAGAGAAATAATCTGCTATAAATTGGAGTTGTGCTAGAGTTTCTGATACTAAATCCCTACTCCTGAGTCCAGAGGAAAAAAAGTTAAACCATATTTCAGATTTTAATGAGTTTCTCTAAGACTCCAGAGGGCACAGCCATAGAAACTAGAGAGTGCACACTAGCATTGTTCCTTGGGTTTATCAAAATGTCTTTTCCATATGCTTCAAAGTAGACTCTATTGACCGAGGTCTATCTTTTCAGGCAACAAACAAATGCAAAACAGCATCTCTTTTTGATCTGGGCCTCAGCAGACAAGTTTTAATTAGCTGGCCTTGCTCACAAAAGGCTGAAAGAATGCATGTGAAACCTTGCTAATATACATCATTCTTTATTTTTAAAATGCATGATATGCCCTTCTACCTCTATCCCCCACACCCCCACAAAAGACAGAATATCCTTTTAGGACAGATCTGGCTGTGGCATCAGAAAGAGACTAGTTAGGAGGATCTCCGTGGTGCTGTTTTCCTCTGGCAGAATAATATCTTCTTTTAAAAAAAGCAAAGACAAATAGCTTGCAGACCAACTAAAGACTTCTTTTTGACAGATTGAAATCAAATTTTCTCAAACCAGTGCCTGGCAGGAGACTGTGCCAGTTGATGCTAATAGATGTGGCATGAAAGAGGGCATTCTGTGATCAAGTGAGTCCAAGAAATCCTGCCTAGCACGCCTCCCTCTTGGAAAGTCTCATAGGACACAGCACAGTATGGACTCCATGTCTTGCACTACCTTCTTCATGGCACAGTCTGCAGAGCAGTGATTTCCCAGACACCAGTTCAGAAAACTATGATCTAAATGTTTCTTCAAATGGAGGGACCAGAGAACTGTTAAATGCCTCTCTACAAATGAATGGATTTCCGCATGAGTCATTGCAGTGTGTGTGTGCTTAGTACGATGAAACATGCATTTATGGGGTGTCCACTGGGCAGATATTTTTGTTTGTTTTCCCTAAAACCTCAATACTTCTCTAGGTCTATCATGTAAGCAGCAAACCAGATTTTACGTTTTCAGCAATTTAAGTCACTTCAAAGTATCCTTGCTTATAACTATATGCCAGCCTCTGAACTGGCCCTGTGGCCTCCACTCCTATCACTTCAATCTGGCCTTCTCTCATGGGGCAGTGGCCAATCTGGAGCACGGGTGTGATCACCCTGTGCTTGTAGCCCCTTGCTACACGCCTATCAGGCCTTAGGTGATCGGCCCCCTATTTACTTCACTGCCTCCACCTCAAGGAGCTCTACTCAATCACAGGGAGTTCTCAACCTAGAGTCTGTGGTTGGAATCCCGTGGATCTGAGAACTTGGATGGGAAAAAAACATGCATCTTTATTTTCACTCTTAACCAGAATGTAGCATTTCTGCCATTATGAATGTAGGCAAAAAGCCACAGTCATATGACTAGTACCTACGACTGTCCCAGGTGGAAATAGTAAATATGTTCAAATCGTATTACAGTCATGGCCACAATTTCCAACAATGGCTTACATTCCAACTTCAAATCACAGTAAATGTTAGACCCAATGCTAGATTTTTGTCACTGATGTGCTAATAAAGAAGCCCATATGTTTCTATGTCACAAATGTAATTTTTAAACCTTTTCATATTTATATTTTAATATAATTTGCTTCCTTTGTCATCCTTTGTGTTTTAGGAAATTAAAACATTACTTTGGCAAAGGTTCATCAGTCATCACCTGGAGTCCGTGACACAGAAAAGATGATGAGCTCCTGTTTCAGTTCCTAAAATATACCTAGATGGCATGTGTGCATTCTCTCTCTCTCTCTCTCCCTGTCTTTCTCTCGCTCTTTTCTCACTGTCATTCAGGCTGGAGTGCACTGGTGCAATCTTGGCTTACTGCAAGCTCTGCCTCCCAGGTTCAAGCGATTCTCCTGCCTCAGCCTCCTGAGTAGCTGGGATTACAGGTGTGCGCCACCACGCCCAGCTAATTTTTGTATTTTTAGTAGAGACAGGGTTTCACCATGTTGACCAGGATGGTCTCAATCTCTTGACCTTGTGGTTCACCTGCCTTGGCCTCCCAAAATTCTGGGATTACAGGCGTGAGCCACTGCACCAGGCCATCTCTATCTCTTTGTTACAGTCCTTTGCAGTCCCTTTTTCTTCAAACATTCTTCTTCCCACCCCACATCCTCTTTGTCTGGTCCAGCCATCACTTTGGGAATTTGTTCACAATATCAAAATCTGGATTGGGCCCTCTCCTATGAGTCTGAGCATCCTATGTACCTCCAACACCGCACCTACCGCCCCAAACTGTCATCACTTACTTGTCTGCATGAAGACAGAGCCCAGTCTAGGTTGTTCACCTTTCTATCCCCATCACTTTGCACAGTGCCCAGCACAAGTAGCCACTCACCATTCTTGTCACATCACTGAAGGAATTGTAAGGCTTTCTCTCAAGGAGCAAAGTATTGACACAGCTGCAGTCAAAAAAAGTTCCCTTATGATTGTAGTCTCAGCTACTGATCTGAGATGCTGAGATGGGAGGATCATTTCGACCAGGCAGGTGAGGGCTACAGTGAGCCAAGATCACGCTACTGTACTCTAGCCTGGGAGACAGAGTGAGACCCTGTCTCAAAAAGAAAAGGCTGCCACCATGGATTGATACCAACCTGAATTTCCGGTTTTCCATCAACGTATACAGTGCTGTTGTTGACCATTTCCACAATGGCAACTCCAAGATTGCACCGGATCCCAAAGGAAATGCAGAATCCCAGCCCACTCATGATAGCAATGATGTAACGCTTGGGGAGGCCGCAGCAGTGGCAGTCGCAGAGTGGGGGGCTCGGCCTGGACGTCGGCACTGGCCTTCCTTCTTCATTCAGCTCGATGTTATCTTCTTCCTCAGTGGTCCCATCGATTTTTCTACATGGGAAAAAGAATGGGCAGAAAATAAAAGCTAGGGTTAAAAGAAAAACAAAGTATATTAAGCAAAAAGAGAAAAGGTATTAGCAGATGCAAAACAAAAAGGAAGAACTATAGTAGAATGCTATGGATTTTTTATTACTATTATTAAAGCAAGTTATTATTATTAGATATTACTATTATTAAAATAAGTTATAGTGGCTAAAACTACTGATGTTCTGGGTATTGTGTGGGACTTTTATAAGCATTAAATCAGTCGTTTGAATCTTACAACAACCCCATGAGGTAGATAATGTCATCATGCCAATTTTTAGGTGAGGAAATTAAGTCATTTGAGGTAGGATAGAAGCCCAAGGCCAGACTCTATGACTCTATGTCTAAAACAATCTGTCATGGTGAATTTCCTGCTGAAAGCGTATTGACGGACTTCGTTCACACTGCACGACCCAGCTGTTACAGTTGACTTTAATTTTTCTAAGTCTTCATAAAATACTAAGTGGAGGTAGAGAGGTACATTTCCTATCACAATGCACGCCCATTTGGTTGTATATCCTTTTCTCCTTAGACGGTTTCTCTAAGGAGGTAGTTCTTCAGCACCTTTTATTCAAATGGTAGAATTTTTCACTGGCCTCTATAGACTACAATTATGGCATATTTGTTACCGTGGATTCATTTCTTCTTCTAAAAGAAGGAATTTGGCAAACTGAACCCTATCTGCCAATTATAAAGGAAGTTGTATCCTCTTACGTATTGTCATCTTTCTGAGGATACTGCCATGGCCCAATTAAGGTCCAAGTCTTTTTAAAAATGATCAAAGCTTGCAAGTTTTCATCAATATTAAATTCAGTAATAAATAGCTAATATAATGGCTAATCCAATAGTTTGGATGAAACACAAGTCATTTGCCCACCAGTCCATATGAAAGATAATCTTGGCACGTTCTTATGACTCAAGGGAAATCAAATTTCCAGCATAAGTGTAGAGAAACAAATATACTGGATTCAATTCAGTTCATCAGATAGGTATTGCCTACTGTGTCTCAGGTACTGTGCTAAGTGTTGGGGAGCGATAGAGAATGTGACATGTTCTCTGCCTTCTTCCAGCTCTCAGTCTGGTGGGAAAGAAAGATACATATACAAGCAGTTATAATTACTGGACAATGCGGGTTTTGTTGAAATCAAAGTGAAAAGAAATGGTGAAACATTGGAAGGAGCTTAGAATTTCAACTTCTGAGCTCAGAGTAGAAGCTTAGTAAGCGTGCCATAACATTAAAGTAATCGGAAAAGAACTCTAACCATTTTCCTACTGACGTAACTACCTACCTGCCGGCCTGCATTTATACTGATGGAGTCTATCTTTTAATCTGCAGTTGTCCATGCTTCTAGCTAAGGCCAGTCTCTCTTCCTGGACGCTAGATCTCATCCCCTTTCATCCATTCATGAATATTGCTCCAGAAATCCCCACCCCCGTGCATCCAGCCATTATGTTCTCCTCCCTAGTATAATAGATCATTCCTGTTGCCAATAAATAAGCTTTTATTCCTCTCATATTAGAATCTAAAATAAAAGATATTTTCTCTTTCAGTTATCCTCTTATTTCTCATTTTCCTTTTTTAAGAAAAACTCTGAAATGACTGTTTTCAATTCCTCTCCTCCTGTTCTCCCCTGGACCCACTCCAGCCAGGTATTCCCAACCTGTCCTCTCAAAACTGCTCATCTTAAGGTTATCAATGCCCTCCTCATGGCTCAGTCTAAAGGTCATTTTCAGTCCTCATCTGATTTAATCGACCCAGCAGCAGCATTTGACACAATTGACCACTTTCTCTTCCTTGGCCATTTTATTTTCTTCCAGGAAAACTCTTGATCATCCTCCTAATTCTTCTGTTTGGTCTCTTATGCCGATTTCTTCTTTCCTTGACCTATATAAACTAGAATGCCTAGGACTCTGTTCTCGGGTTTCTTGCTTTCTGTCTATGCCCTTTAGGTCATCTAAGCCAGGCTCTGGGCTTTAGGTATCATGCATATGCTAACAGCTCCCAATTTTTATATCTAGACTTATTTGACATCTCCTTGGACACCTGAAAGTCATCTTAAACTTGACATATCCAAACTGACTTTCCCTAAAAAAAAATTAATTTCTGAAGTCATTCCCATCACAAGTAATGATAATTTTGTTACTTTGGTTGCTCCAGCAAAAATCGTGAAACCATCCTGGATGCCTCACTTCTTCTCCAATCTATGTCCAACTGAGGAGCCTGTGTACCTTACTTTGAATGTTGAGTTTCCCACTTACCCAGCTGTGTGACTTTAGCCTAATTACTTAACCTCCCTGGACTTCAGTTTCTTTGTCTGTAAGCTAAGAATTATAGTAATAGTTTCTTCTTCACAGGGTTGTTCTTAGGATTGTCATAAATGAGTTATTAAACTTAGGTAATTTAGAACAGAACTTGCCACATAATAAAAACACAACACATGTCAGCTATTTTCATTACATTAATCCTCACCATCACTTAATGATCCCACAATGCTAGTGAGTGTTGATGACATTAGTTCTGAGAGGTAGCTGGATGATAGGACTTTATAATGGGCTTCCCTAGTAGTCTCCATGAATTTTCTGACAACCAAATATGTATAACTTAAGTAGGATGGAAAACTGATGCTCTAGGCCAGGCATGGTGGCTCACGCATATAATCCCAGCACTTTGAGAGGCTGAGGCAAACAGATCCACTGAGGTCAGGAGTTCGAAATCAGCTTGACCAACATGGCAAAACCCTGTCTCTACTAAAAATGCAAAAATTAGCCAGGTGTGGTGGTGCAGTGTAGTCCCAGCTGCTTAAGAGGCTGAGGCATGAGAATCACTTGAACCTGGGAGGCAAAGGTTACAGTGAGCTGAAATCGTACCACTGCACTCTAGCCTGGACAACATAGTGAGATTCCAGCTCAAAAAAAGAAAGAAGAAAGAAAGAAGAAAATTGATGCTCTAATATTGACACATTACTCTAATAGTATATTCCTAGCAGCTAAAACAAGGATAATATGTAACAACCACAGTAACACTTGCGTAAGGCAAATTCAGTTCTCTCCCTCTGCCCTCCTCTCTATAGATGCTTTCATGTAATTCTCTTATTTGATCATTAATAGAGCTCAGTGAGACATGGGTAATCTAATACTCCCATGTGACACAAAATAGAACTGTAGTTCAGAAAGCAAGAACAAATCGACCAAGATCACACAGCCATTAGTGGGTGGAGGCAAGATATGAAACCCTTCTCCTTTGCTGTCTAGGTCTCCTGGGCCCCTTTCCTGTGTGTTCCCAGCCCACCAGGCCATGCTCCTTCTCAGTGATCTCCCCGAGTCACTTTGTCTTCTGTACCTGTTACTTTGTAGCCCTTGCTCAGCCATCATGACCCAGAAGAGCAGGGTAAGAGAATGGGCTCTGAGCTGAGAGACACCCAGTGCTGTCTCTCTCATGTACTAGCTCCCTGACTTTGGCTAAGTTACTTGACCTTCTATTAGTCTTCCAGGGATGCTGTAACAAAGTGCCACAAACTAGCTGGCTTAAACAAAAACATTTATTTTCCTACAATTCTAGAGCCAGAAATCTGAGATCAAGTTTCAGCAGGCCTTGGTTTCTTCCAAGGCTTTTCTTTTTGGCTTTCAGATGGCTGTCTCTCTCTGTGGCTTCACATAATCTTTCTTCTGTGGATCTCTGTGCCCAGATTTTTTCTTCCTATAAGGACATCAGTCATATTCGATCAGGGCCCACCCTGTGGGCCTATTTAATATTAATTACCTTTTTAAAGACCCTATCTCCAAACAGAATCATATTCTGAGGTCCTGAGTGTTAGAATTTTACCATAATGAATGAGGGCAGATTCATATGAAGACACAATTCAGCCCATAAGAATCCCTATCTCTAAACTGGGATAATCATAATGGGTATCTCATAGGGTCGTTCAGTGATTGATGCGTATAAATGATTCAGTTCAGTGCCTGATACATAAAAAGTGCTTTAGAGTAATAAGCAGTAAGTACTATCTATCATTACTGCTATTAATAAAGTGTCACCAGTCATAAGCTTAGCCCTCTCTATACACATGCAGATGCTTTAGATGAAGGCTAATGAAAACTGAAAGCACTGAGGGGCTTTGCGGTGCTTAATTGCAGACAGCCCCAGCTGCTGTGCTCTGAATCAACCACCTCTTTGGCATGGGGACAGCACTTCCTTCTCACAGGCTGCTATTCTGCCAAGAACTGAGCACCCCAGGGATGAGGCCATTCTTTCCTGCCAGAGGCAGGACACCTCTGACAGTGACTGGCTCCAGGACTGCTCATTGGCCATGCCAAAACTTCCCAGTACTGTAGTGTCGTCTGCAAGTCTTCCCACCTAACTTTTCTTCCTTCCCTCTCTCCTACACAGGTAGCAGTGTGAACACTCTCCCAGCCTCCTCCAGCTCCTTCCCCATTTCCCCTCAACAAATCTCTTGGCTGGGTGTGGTGACTCATGACTGTAATTCAAATACTTTGGGAGGCTGAGGCAGGAAGATCACTTGAGCTCAAGAGTTTGAGGCTGCAGTGAGCCGTGATTGTGCCACTGCACTCCAGCCTGGAAAACAGAGCAAGACCATGTCTCGTATGTGCCGAGTCCTGTCTTGGAATCTGCTTTCTTGGAAGACCTGAACCAATACAAGCACCCTCTGTGTGCACATTGCCATCTTAGACATCCTGAGGCTTTCCAGAGGGAAATACATATAGTATGGGAGATGAGGAAAAAAGGGGGAAAGTAATGATTAAAGGGAAACCTAAAAGAAGGAGTCGTGGGCTCCCCAAGAAGCAGGACCTATGGCTGGCTGACCTGAAGCCAGCCCCTAAAGCAGCTCTCCAGTTGGAGATGGGATATTGGGAGCTGAGGGGAGGGGTTCGGGCACAAAATCTCAGTTTCCTTTGCCCAAAGTGGCAGCTGAGCCACCACTCAAGGGGTCATGGGCTCAGGAGCAAAT